CCCCAAAACCCCAAAACCCCAAAACCCCATTTTTCCTTTTAGATATTGCAGTTATGCATTAGATACTAAGATATGGACCCTTTTGAGTTATATCATGATGATCAGCCCACCGATTTTGATCTCTTAATGGAGCCTGATCTACAATGAGAAGAAATAGGGCATAGCGATCTTGAGGAAGAGACTGAGCCTCACTTGCATATCAAATTAGATGACAATCCAAGTGAAATAAAGGTTTGCTTGCACCCTCTGAAGGAAAGAGTGCATTTTTACAAGACCAAGAAGTACAAGAAAAAGTACTCTTACCTTGGATCAACAGAAAACATTATTAACTCAGTGCTATGAACCATCTGAGACCAGGTCATGGAGAAAGGGAGAAGGTGAGATTCCTGCAAAAAGGCATTCTGTAATTTTTGCATGGACACAAAATCTTGCCCATTTAACTGAGGAGGCACTAAGGACAATATCATTAGTATTAACAGAAAGATTGGCTATGTCCTTAGTAAAATCCACTTTAAATGTGTCAATTATGAAAGAGGCTGATCCCAAAAGCTGGCGTATAAAGAACTAAAAATTCACGAAAAGGATTGAGAGTATCGGGCTAAGGTATGACAATATTGATCACAACCTGTAATAGCTCTTAGATTTATAACCCATTTGGAGATTTGTAAGCAAAGAAAGAAGAAAATCAAATGCAAATTCTGTGACTTCGAAACCTCATTTGAAGAGATAGAAGAGCATACTGAAAATTGATCTAAAAAATTAGTTCAATGAAAGTATTTTCCTAAATGAATCTATACTGGATCTAAAGACAATGTTGAACTTCACCAGGTCGAATGAAAAGAAAATCAGAGACAATGAAAATTCTGAAAGCAAGACATTGAAAGGACTACTGAAGATTCTGAAGAAGACACACATGACTGACTTGATGCTATCAACATTCAAATAAGATCAGCAATCAGAAACAAGGAATTATGACTTCAAAGACTAGAAAGAAGGATCCAAGAGAGAAATGATATGAAAGCTGCCATTGACGAAATAGTTAAAGTCCTAACCACAAAGCAATCAGAATGCATAAAACTGAGTGAAGAAGCCAAATATTACAAAGACGAAGTTTTCAAAATCAAAAAGAGAAAGCAAAAGGAACAACTAAAGAAGAATGATGGCACTTTGCAAGACGAAGGCGAAGATTTCAGGATATGCACTGGCAAGAGACCTTACATCTGCTTCGCTAAAAATTCAGAAATAGATCCTGCTTTGCAAAAGGAGAACAAATGTAAATGTCCGCTTGAAAATCAGAACTTTAAACATAGGTATAAGAACAGAAGTTGGGTAGAAGGAAACTGAGTCTCTTGAAGCCATATTGTTTGCAAGATATGCAAATATATTTGAGATACCTGAAAAACTGTTATTTGTGTTGAATGCAAAGACCAATGCAAAGCTTGTCATCATTTCGTTTGCTCTAAATGTGAGTGCTTATGAGGAAACTTAAAAGTAAAACTTTTGAGAGCTTAATTTGTAACAAAATGTTGTGTAAATATAATTTTCAATTAAATGATTAATCTGAGGGGTTTTGGGGTTTTGGGGTTTTGGGG